AACTGGACATTTTATTTATTTATTTATTTATTTATTTATTTATTTATTTATTTTTTGAATTTTTTTTGTAACGTTTATTTATTTTTGAGACAGAGAGAGACAGAGCATGAGCAGGGGAGGGGCAGAGAGAGAGAGGGAGACACAGAATCGGAAGCAGGCTCCAGGCTCCGAGCTGCCAGCACAAAGCCCGATGCAGGGCTCGAACCCACGGACTGTGAGATCATGACCTGAGCTGAGGTCGGACGCTTAACCGACTGAGCCACCCAGGCGCCCCAAAACTGGACATTTTAAATAGTATATGGTAACCACCCTTGTTACTGAACATCTCACCCAGGCCTTATTTATTTGTTTAATAACTTGGGTAAACCATTTTAGTAAATTTTATTTCCCTTGCACTGTGGAGCCTCTGATATTTCTCCTTAGAGGGCAAACCTTTAGCCAGGTGCGGTCACCATTGGCATGACAGTGATTTTAGTAGGGCTTGCTTTGATCGTCTCTTTTTCTGATTTCTCTGTTAAGCCGTTCTGAACTCCTTTGATGTCACAACTATTACTAGCTTTCATTAGTTGCCAGCTGACTACTCTATTGTTTTCAGAAATTCCCTGGAAAATAAATTGTTCCATAGTGTGATCTTTTAAAAGTGGGTTCTTTATAAAAGTAATCTTTGAGGCCAGGTTTTACAGTTTGTTCAGATCTCAGAAGGGCTTTTCTTAGCTGTCCCCTCTCCTGGTTCTCTCTGGTAAATCTCAAGATGGTTTACAGTTTAGCTTGCTACTCTCTTGGAGGTACCCGCTCCTTTTAATTGTTTATCACTTGCTGAGGGCAAGGGCTCTCAGGGTTCCAGTATTCTCTACCTATTGCACCTGGGTTAGAGCTTCTGCCTTATAAGTGAATTCTGAGAGGAGGAAGGAAGTCCAAGATCTCCCAGACATTCTTGCTTGGAATAGATTCTCTAAAACATGGATCTAGGCTATGGTATTTCTTGGAATGATACTGTAGGCCTCAACTGGGACCAGCTGGGGAAGGGATCCTGTGTTTTCTTGACTTGTTACATTTGTAAGTGAGCAGAAGTAATTAGTACAAGTGCTGCTTGAAGTTCTTAAATGATAGTTGTATCCCTTTGTCTTCATGTTTTTCACTTCCAGGGGCTGGAGTAACATATTGGATATGTGGGTTGCTGACAGTGTCTCTGATAGTGGTGAGGGAAGGTTGAATGACTTTAGCAGAGCAGAGCTGCGCCACCAACTTACTCTAGTCATCATTAGAGCAAAGTTAACTTTTACATTATTTAACCCATTATACGTTTTATTCTCTTAATATATTTTACCCTAATTTGTAGATCATCAATGAAAGTATTTTGCATGAAGAAATGAATAGATGGAGCTCACTTTAAAAATTTGAAAAATGGAAAAAAATGCTTTCCTTTTAGTTTTGTTTTACCTCTGCTAATTAATAATAATGGTAACTGTAAACTTCCTACTTCGTCCATCATTTTAATTCAAATGACTTTACAATTTCATCAAAAAGAATAAATGTTACTGATTTTTTGGTAAATTGTCTCCATGATATTGAAGTAGTGTACTTTGATATCCTCTCTTACAAAAATTTTAAAGTAAAGATTGGCTGTTAAATTTTATCTAATACCTTTTCTGCATCTGTTTGTATACACAGACATGTTTCTTCCATTAATTTGCCTATATAATGAGCTTTGTAATAGTTGATCATATTGTTCTTATTCTTTCCTTATATTGCTGGATCTTTTCATTAATATTTAGAATTTTTGCATCTGTATTCAAAGCTGAGATTGGTCTATGGTTTTCTTTTTATTGCCTTATTAGACTGACTAGGACTTCCAGTGCAATGATGAGTAGGTTGGGTGAGAGAGGACATTCTTCCCTTGTTTTTGATCTTACAGGGGAAATATTTAGTATTTTACAATTAAGTTTTATATTAGTTTGTTGATGCCATTTATCAGATAATATTTTGGACATATTGGTTTAAACAAAATTAAAATTAATCTCCTCTTTTTCTTTTACATTTTTTACTGTGACTAATAGAAAACTTAAAATTATTTGATGGCATACATTGTATTATGTTGGACAGTACTGCTCTAGAGTAATTTTTATAGATGGAGATAGAGTTACTTCTTTACTGGAGAAGAATAATAAAAAGAGTTCATAATGGTTACCTTATATTTCTGTAGATAACTTTGTCATGTTCTCCTTGCCATTATATTATAAAATACATAGCCAGACATGAGTACAGAACTGTTTGTGGATCCATATCACCAGAGATTTCTCAGCACCCATTCATCCCTTGATGAATGATGATGAGTAAACTTTAGTGCCTAAGTAGTTTTTTATGTAGTATTAATATGAAAACAAATATTACATTAAATTTAGCAGCATGTTTTCTAAAGATGTAAGTGAATTCATGAGTAGTTTTCTTTCTTTTTTTTTTAATGGCAAAAAACTAAATGACAATTTCCTCCCCGTCCCCCCCGCCCCCAACCCACTCTTATATTCAGCCCCTTGTTGCATAAAAAGCATCAGGAGAAATTTATTGGTGAATGTGAAACAAAGTGGACTTTTATACCTAAAGGATACGAAGACAGTCTCTTTAAGCATCTCTTTCTTCGGCCTGAAACTAATAGAACAGGAAAACTTGCACATTGGAAACATGTAAGTATGGTTAGTTTATTACTTACCTTTAAATATTTTTATTTAAGATACTATAGTTGTAATTTATGTATCAATAGTAAAAGTTTCTTCATTCCCTTTTAAATATTCTCATTATATTGTTAATATTCTGCTTGAGGTTTTCTTGATGTAAGAAAAGTCATATGATAACAAAGTACAAATATAATTTTGTGGTACATTATTCTTATCACAACCATTTTGTAATTTTATGCCTTGCATATATATTTTCTCATATCACCTATTGCAAATAGTTATTAATAGTAATGTAAAATATCTTCATAGCAGTTGAAAACAAAGAAATATTTAGTTTATTGAAAACTAATGATACTATATGTAGTATAATATTCATTCAGTGTTTTATGATAAATTATGTCTTGCTTTGAGGACACATCAGAAATAGAAACTTATTTATTGACTGCCTACTGCTGTCAGGTGCTCTGCTAGATATTTTGCATGTGTTCTGTAATTTATTCTCCACAGCACTGTAAGATAGGTGTTTTCATGTCATTTTTATAAAGAGGAAAACTAAGGCTTTTACAAGTTAACTAACTTACCAAAAGCCACACATTTGAGTGACACTGCTAAGACTTAACTCCAGGTCTTCTGACACCAGAGTTTGTGCAAAAAAGCACAAACTTTTTTTTTTTATCTTTAGAAGTTTTTTTTTTTTTTTTTACATTAAATAATAGTAGAAATGAAGACTTGACATTCTAGTATAATTACTAGATCAAACTTATAATAATGTGTAATGCACTGTTTGTGATAAATAAACCCCTTCACATGTAGGCCTGTTTCTAAGTAACTTGCACTATAAATATTTCCATTTTATTAACATGATTAGAAAAGACTACAAAAGGTGCAGACTGTCATTTGTCTGATTTCAGTGTTATTGAGGACATGTGTTTTAGAAGTAGCAGAGGAATATCTTCAAGCCCTTAAAACCCACAGAAATTATCCATTGAATAAAAATATAGATTTAAAAGGCCAGTATATCCTATTCAAAACTTTTTCCTCAGTAGCACACAGTGCCGACTATATTCATTTGCTCTAGATGAGATGCTTTATAAAAGTATAAAGTTCATATGAAGTGTCTTTTGGCCCTCTATATAGAATATAAACTCACTGGTTTCAGGCATGTCACATGCTTTTTTATGTGCTTTATGCAGAGGAGACTTTCACTGAATGTTGTATATAACCAATTTGGATATATATTTATAAAGTACTTGCATACTCATGTACAGATATATGTATATACACATAGTCATATATCCATATGCAAAATCTAATACACATACATGGATATGTATTGTATTATGGCAAATGACTATGTGCATAAACAGGAATTAAATATTCATATTGTAGAGGTATTTTATTTAATATCTGTGAAGTTACATAGAATATATCATTGTCAGGTCTTTGGAAGTATTTTAAATGTTAAGAAATTTGGGGATATATATTCATTATAAGGAGTTTTCTAAAGCTGTTAATATTATTGATAATTTTGCTAACCACATCACAATTAATGTTATTAAGAACTATTCTTTCATAGTCTATAAATATGTACATTGTCTGATGATTTTGCACTGTTTATAGCTACTATTCATAAGACCTTATAGAAGTTGTCTTCAGCTCAATTTCTTAGAGTAATTGAAATGATCCTTAATCATAAGATTCATCTTTGAATCTTTACTTCTTCTGTGTAAAATTGTTGTTCCGCCTTCTGGTGGCTTCTTTTGTAGTCTCTTCAGCTCACTTATGTGGTGTACTATTCTGTTATTTTTGTATCTTGTCATTAGTGACTTGGCAATTGGTCAAGTAGAAACTATAGTAAGAACAAGTGATGCCATAGAGTGCTTAAGAGAACCTAGGATCCAAGAAACATTAAAAAGATTAAGAAGTAGGGAAAAGAGAGGAGGTAATAAAATAACAGTATTTAATACTGGGAGTTCATTTTTAAAAAATGCTGTGAGCAGAATAATGGAAAGGATCAGTCAAGAGTGGAATTCAAGTTTTAGTAATGAGATAAGTAACTAATGTCTGTTTTTCTTCTGTTTGAGGCTGAAATGTGCTTGGTCCAAAAAGCATAAAACTTCCTGTATTCATGGTAACCTAAAATGGAGAGAGCCAGAAGAGTGAGTTCAAGTTACATTTATTTAGGAAATGCTATGCTGCAAAGCCAGCATTTAAGGTGCACACTTAAGCTGTTAAAGGAGATATAGAATCAAAAGCCAGGATTCATGAGTAAGGACTCTGATTAAAAAAAAAAAAGTGGATCAGAGGAAATTGAGGTTCTGGAACAATTGCTAGAGACATTATTTATCGATGGCTCACAGTCAAAAGGTGGCCATTCCTCTTGAAGAATTGGCCGACAGAAATACAGACCTATGGTGGTCAATGAGATCAAGTTTTAGGGAAACATATTATTATAATGGATTTTAGGGAAATTTAGATCCTATTGTGATGGATTTTGCTGGGACACCCAAAAATGTTTGAAATTTGCTTTGGCATAGTCAACCCTTTTCCTCAAAGGTTACTGAGGTAACTGAATTAGGTTACTGAAATGTATGTATAGGGAGTAATAGCAAACAGAGCAGTTTATTTTTTTTAATGCTTATTTATTTTGAGAGAGAGAGAGAGAGAGAGAGAGAGAGAGAGAAGGGTGAGGGGCAGACAGAGAGGAAGAGAGAGAATCCCAAAAAGACTCCATGCTTTCAGTGCAGAGCCTGACATGGGGCTCTTCAAGGGGCTTGTTAGGATGTGGGGCTCAAAGTGGGACTTGACCTCAGGAACTGTGAGTTCATGACCTGAGCTGAAATCAAGAGTTGGACACTTAAGTGAATGAGCTACCCAGGTGCCCCGAACAAAACAGTTTCTAACTGGATTTGCCTGAAATTCCATTGCAAAACTTTAGTAACCTTGGCTAGAGTATGAGATATTCTTCATTATTTATGCTTTGTTGGCTTTGTGGTATTATTTCTCTTATTTCCTATATTGCAAACATGAATTTTAGAATAGCTATAATATAAGAGAAAGTCACACCCATTGTAGCCAAAAGGAAAGAGATTCAGAGGAGAGGAAAGCGATTTGCTACATATTTATCTCAGAGGCAGCCTAGTTGCTTCCTTTCCTCCTGCTCCCGCACCTTCACATCTGAAGCTTCTTTAAGTGGTTTAGTCATATGTTGTTAGGAAGGAGGAAAAACATCTAAAACATAAAAAAGAGTGATGGCCAGGAACCTTAACTCTTCCAACTTCATGGAAAGTAAGAACAAGTCTATCTTGTAGATACCGATCTTTGACAGCCTACCACCTAGATACATGATCTAATTGTTTTTTCTTAGAACTTCAATAACACCTTGCCTTCTTGAAGCATGAAGTTTGGAATGTCATACCCTTTGTCTTCACTCATTTTCTGGAGTGGGTGCATATATTCTTCCTAATTAGGAACACAATGAGGAGAAGGATCAATAAGGCAATCCAACCCAGTTTCCCTGGAAGGGATCTCTTACTTAGAACCACTTTTAGGGGCGCCTGGGTGGCTCAGTCGGTTGAGTGTCCGACTTCGGCTCAGGTCATGATCTCGTGGTCTGTGGGTTCGAGTCCCACGTCGGGCTCTGTGCTGACAGCTCAGAGCCTGGAGCCTGCTTCAGATTCTGTGTCTCACTCTCTCTCTGCCCCTCCCCCTCTCATGCTCTGTCTCTCTTTCTGTCAAAAAATAAATAAACATTAAAAAAAATTTAAAGAACCACTTTTAATACATTGACTGTTCATATTTCATATTCCTTTGTGACATTGTATGGTTCCTGGAAACATTGGAAGTAATCTAATATGGCAGCCATCTATACTAAAGTAAAATTTGCTTTAGAAATGCTGGTTTGGCTGAATTTTAGAATATTTTTATTGTTTTTTTTCCTTGATTCCAAAAATTTATTTTTCTCGTAACTAATACTGATGGAGCTATATACATGCCATATTGAACACTATTTTTGTAAAACAAAATAGAACAAAATGTTTTCAAATACAGTCCTCCTATGAACCTGTTCCATTATTAAATACATTTTCCTAAAGATACACAGAGACTTTTCAGATTGGCTTCTAACACTTAGCAATATGCATTTAAGATTGCTCCATCTCTTCATGGCTTAATAACTCATTTCCTTTTAGCAGTGAACAATATTTCATTGTCTGGATGTATTACAACTTATCCATTCACCTATTGAAGGACATCTTGGTTGCTTCCAAGTTTTGGCAGTTATGAACAAAGTTTCTATAATCATCCATGTGCAGATTTTGTGTGGACATAAATTTTCAGGTTGCTTAGGTAAATACAAGGGAGCATGATAACTGGATCATATGGTAAGAGTATATATAGTTTTGTAAAAAAGCTGCCAAACTGTCTTCCAACGTGGCTATACCATTTTGCATCCCTACTAGCAATAAATGAGAGTTCTGTTGCTCCCTGTATTTCTAGCATTTGGTGGTATCAGTGTTCTAGATTTTGGCTATTCTAATGGATATTTACTAATGTCTTATTGCTTTAATTTGCAATTCCCTAATGACATATGGTGCTGAACATATTTTCATAAGTTTACCTGCCATCTAGATGTATATCTTTGGTGAGCTGTAGCTCCCTTTTTACTATTACAAAGGTGAGATGATTTATCACATGGCCTATGTGAGTAAGAAAAAGAGAAGGGTTCACTTTAAGCAGGGCTTCTGTACAGTGTACAAGTACATTTACATCAGACTCTATATAGAGGATATTCCCTGAGATTGTACAGAGCACAGCTTGCATGGCAGGGTGAGTTTGCCCTGATTTTATAAATCCAAGTAACTAATCATATTTGAGGATTGTGTGTGTGTGTGTGTGTGTGTGTGTGTGTGTGTGTGTGTGTGTTCAATGTGTGCACAACACACGTGCACATGCACCTACTTTAAATTAAGGTCAGTCTGAGGGTAGGGAAAGAGAATAATCATCTCCAT